GCAAGTGGTTTATTTCTCTAAATTGACAATTTTCTGTAAGTTATTTTTTATTAGCATTTTTGGAATACTTCCTTCAGAACAACATGTCTTTCTTCATTCAGTTTAACATCTCCTTCCAGGAAGTATTTCTTCCCTTTCATGTGTCTGATAGAACACAAATCAACGAACAGAGCTCTTGCAGTTTTTCTTTCCTGTGTGTCACTACAGGACACCAACTGAGTCATGATGATTAATACTTCTGGAAACCAAGTCTGCAGGCTTCTTGAAGATCCCCATCTGTCTGATAAAGGCTCTGGCCCACCAAAACTACCACACTCAGGGTAGTGTTACAGCAACAGCAGCCACTGAGATCACCTGGAAATTAGATTTGAGTGTTGAAAAAAGATATTGAAGGTGACACCTCAAAGTGACTTCAAAAAGGAATTTAACGGTTGAAGGTTAAAGTTTTGGACCGCTGACATCATTTGAAATTTTGTGCTTGAAGCTGGATGTATTTCAGAAGGGAGGGTTTGTGTTTGGTGTTTTGTTTTTATTTTTTGGGGGGGTGTGTCTTTTATTTCTAACCTTTGCAAAGCTGTGCATGTGGATACACAGGCACACAAATAAAGGAAGATGAATGCCACCATAAGCACCTACACAGCTAAGCTCAAAGTGTGCAGAGAACATCAGAGGCAGCTTTTGTAGTTCTATGCCTTACAAAGTAGTGCAACACCTGACACTGGATAATTTCATGCTAAGATACTTTTAAGCCTGCTTCTTGAGATTATAATGCTAAGCATTGAGTGTTGTGGGCGGTTTATTTCATTTTGTTTTAAAAATCTCTTCACACGACGGTTTCTAAATTCAATGTTTTGGTCATACGTACCTCCACTAGATGGCTCACTTTTAAAATACGTTTCCCCATTTCTTCTTGCACATCACCAGGAATACAGAACAGCTTTCAGCAATGTCACCAAGAGTCATCCCAGGCCACAGGTCTTTGACTGAAAAAAAGCTGCCATCCCATTCAGTAGGGTGAAGCAGCAGCAGGTACTGTGGCTGCTCATCACCCTGCTTCGCTGCAGGGAGGGGCCCATCCCAAACAGAGCCTCCAGTGGGCCACCACCCCAGGATCACAGCCAAAGCAGCCTATGTGCTGATCACATGGCTGAAACTGCAGTTGTCCTGCACTTGCAGGTATCCCTGTCCTAAGAGAGGTGGCCTTTCACATACGTTTCTGCTAAGGAACGTAAATTCAGTCAATGTGTGCTATTCCTTTCACACACACCTAATGAGATCTTAGGATATCTACTTCAGGATCCAAATGACTCTATAAAATCACCAAAAAGCAGTTCAAAGTAAGCATTTGTTAGCACTGAAGTTGACTTTTACTCTTCTTCCTGAACTGAGAGCTCTTTACATTTGTCATTGTTCTCCATGTACTTTCTAGTTGTCCCTGTTACTCCTTGGAGAATTACTTATTTATGTTTCCTCTTTTATTGAAAAAGTAGTGCTTTTTCATTAAAATATCCTCAGGGTTAGTAGAAACTTGTAGGAAAGAGCTGAGGGAAAGAGGTAAGGCAGCTTTACTTACCCACCACCAGAGGGAGAAAAGAAGCCTCCATAACCCGCATTATCGAGCTTTTCTATATACATGTCCAGAACTGAAACAAGCTGTGCAGGGATAAGATGGCCACATGATGTTTGCTCCATCACTCCCAAACTTCATCCACCTACAAGAGGGCAGAGCAATGAGTGCAAACATTCAAGAACTTGGCCATCTTCACCAGGTAAATCAGTTATGAGCATGAACAAAATGAACAAGGAACACCCAGTAATCCAAACCTTCAGGTTACTTTTTAACAGCAATAAACCTTCCCTTTTACTGCTCTATTTCTAATGTGTTGACTGGGCTTTGCTGTGACACTTTGTGTACACTAAGTTCATTTCTCCAAGACAGCCCTTTATTGTGAACCATGGCTCAACATCATGATGAGCTAAGAGGCAACAGGGCCACACAAAGGAATCCTCAAGCCCTGGTCATGGGCTGATCTTACCTACCACCAGAAATGTTACTGTGTGCAGGGGAAAAACTCCAGCCCACTTATAAGGGGGATGTAACACAGGCAGCTGAACTCAGATGAGTCAAGGACCATGATGACAATGAATCAAGAACCAGGATCTGCAACTCAAGGTCCCCTCTGGAAATATCTTTTAATCAGTACCTTTACGGTTCTGGCTAGAAATTTTCCATGACATGTGTCAGTTATTTTTCTATTGACCCAAACAGCTGTGCAAGGGATAAAATAATTTGCTAAACCCTTTTAATACAAGTACTCTTTCTTAACAGCTTCCATGCTCCCACAAGTCTTCAATCCAAGGCCTGCAGCTAACTCTCCAGCCCTTGTACATCTGGCAGCAGGAGATGCTCAGTAGCTTACAGAAGGCTGTTTCAGCAAGATTCAGTCATCCCAGGAAGATACTGAGAAATCCTGAGCAATCATACACCGTGAAGGATCACTATCGGCAAACAGGATGCCAGTCAGGAAGTTTGGGCTGAGTGTAGGAACTGCACCTCAATGGAATGCTTAGAGCATGTAATGTACACATGTATCTTCAAAGAGAATCATGTATCCAGCTCCATCTAGCACTTCTACCAGAGACATGTGGAAGCACATAAACCCAGAAATCTTTTGCTAGAGAAGGAAACCTCCCTTTTTCCCTACAGCCACCTGACAGTATGAGGAGTGAAGGCATATCCCACTGGAAGGTCCTTTAGATGTAAGAGTGAAGAACTCCTGACCAATGTCCCTCAAGAAACAGCAGAGCTTTGTGACCTGCCATGCAAGACACAAGGCATCTTTCTTCCAATGCATGGCATTTGTGGACTTACGAAAAACAGAGCTTTCCAATATTCCTACTATAAAGGAGACTGAAGGAACTTCTCAATACAAAATATCACACTAAGGTCTGAATTGTGAAAAAGCTTTACAATTTGCCAGTAAAAAACCTTCCCAAAGACCTACACATGGACAGAGGAAAGCATCTTTTGCTATAAAAGCAGAGCTGGGCAGTACAGAAGACAAAATGCAAGTACCAAACTAATGACAAGAGGGGAAAAAAACAATAAAGGGAGAAAAGGATGACCAACAATCAAGAAGTTAAAGAATAAAAAGTGAAAAGCCTTTAAACAGATTCTCAGGTGACTGAGAAGTAAAAATAAAAGGGGGCAAAGGGGTAAGTGGTGAAGTTCATTATATCACAGGTAAAGAAAAGGTAAAGATAACCTGCCACAGAATTTCTGTGTGCTCTATGATGGGTTCAGAAATAAGTCTGTATTAGAGCTCAGGCTTGTTTATGCCTGTCAATGAGCACTGTCATTCCAGTTCTGTAATTAAATCCACAATTTTGACAGCTGAAACTGTAGAAATAATTGCAGTTACTCAAAGTAAGTTGCTACTGTTCAGACTGTTGCCAAAAATGTTTTAAAAGCTTCTGCTTTGTACTTCAAAGAAAATCTGAACTCAATCTTCATCCATTCCACATCACTTCATTTCTGGAGCAAAGATCTGAAAAGCTGTCCTTTTCCTAGGCAAACTGGAAGCCCAAACCAAGACTTTCTACCATATTATTGATACATTCCGCAGTAACATAAATACTACACAACCACTTTCACTGATCAGTAAGTTATACATATGACAGATTTTATATAATCCTGTATTTTTATCCCATAAATACATTTTCCAGACATGAAAAAAAATCTGAAGCCAGTCAGTGTTTCAGAAATCTTACAGGACTTGGGACAGCCAATACACTGAGAACAAGTACTCCTAAATTCCTTTGCTGTACCACTATAACATCCCAATCTACAACACCATTTATTTTATGAGACAAGAGAGACAACACTATCAAACACTGAAAAAGTCTTTTCAACCACCTTTATTTTTCAGTCAAGGGTTAGAGCACACCAGCATAATACCAACCACAAAGGAATTTGAGATTGTATCTCAAATTTGCAGGTAACGCAGGTATCACAGCAAACAATAAAATGCTTTACAATCAACTTTGGCATTCAAAAGCCAACTGTGCAATCATTCAGAAATGTTTAAAGCAGAACAAAGCAGCTCATAAAACACCATGTTGAGATGTGTACCCTGTATAGTTTTTTCTGCACCTGAGCAAAAGTGGCTCAGTCAATAAAACACAATGCACTAGAGCAGCAGGTAATCCACAAAAGCCTCTCCTCCTTGCTACATGAGGACGAGAAAGGACAGGGACAGCCTACAGCCTACTGCCAGTATTGCCGGATCTCGCATAGGCACTTAGAAGGCCCAGTGAACAAATGGAGAAGCTGGAAGAAAATCAGGAAACCACCTCTGACATCCAAAATGTGATTAACGGAAGGGTTAGAAACATGTCATTCACAAATGGAGGCCTTTTGCAAAATGTTCTTCCTTTTATGGTATTCATCAAGCAAACGTAATCCTCCACAGGAGAAGACAACTTAGCAACAACAAAAGCATCTCTGTTGTATTAAGAGATGGGGAAACATTGGGAAAACAGAAAAAACATCCTGAACAATGGAAAGCCTCTCAATAGCCTCATTTGCAGCACACAATCAAAACCTCATTCAATACCTACAGCATTTTAGCCACATTCTGATTTGGTTTATTTGAGTATATTCTGTGCAGAATTTCATCTATCAAAACTGTCAAATGACACTTTCTTATACCTTACAATTTAAAACTCCGGGTTATATTAAAATTCCCACAGCAGCAAAAATGGGGTTTACTTTTTCCTTCCTCAGAACAACGAGACATCCATTACAAGTCAATTCCACTAAAAAAAAGTCAAGAGATCTAAAACTCCACTACCTTCTTGAACATTAAGCTATTGGGCCCAAAATAAATTTAAAAAAATAAATACTCCAGAACTTAATGGTCTAATTAGAAACAGGCAAAACATTTGGGAACTTTTAGAATTTGAGTATCTTCAGAATTTGTGTGTGTTACTTCATAAAATATTGAACAGACCTAATCATTTATTGAATAATTTCCTATTCACAAAGCTTGTTTGTTCCTCACAATTAAATCAACAGTATTGAGTCCTGCCTCTCCAGAGGCCTTCTATAAAAGCAGAAGCTGCACTTCAGACTTTGGTTGTGCAGATGTTTGGAACAGTTTGATTCTGCCTGCGCTTCAAAGAGGATTATAACATGCTCAAAAATTCTTTGACCTGCAAAAAAGAAACAAATACAGTCAATCAAACTAAGTATTTATCAACAGAAATACACAGCAACTACATTTACCTCCCCATTGCCTTATGCTTTACTACAACCTACAGAAATAGGAACTGGGAAAAAGAATCTTAGGCTCAGCTATGCAATTTCTTGTCCATCAAGAACTTTTTCAGCCATGATACCTGTAATTTAGCAAGTACAGAGACACACTCAGTGAACAGCCAGCATGGCTTCACCAAGGGGAAATCCTGCCTGACCAATTTGGTGGCCTTCTATGATGGGGCTACAGAACTGATGGACAGGGGTAGAGCAGTTGATGTCATCTACCCTGATTTGTGTAAAGCGGTCGACACTGTCCCACACGACATTCTTGTCTCTAAATTGGAGAGACATCAATTTGATGAATGGACCACTTGGTGGATAAAGAACTGGCTGGATGGCCACATGCAAAGAGTTGTGGTCAATGGCTCAATGTCCAGCTGGAGACCAGTAACAAGTGGTGTCCCTCAGGGATCAGTGTTGGGACCGGTCTTGTTTAACATTTTTGTCGCTGACATGGACAGTGGGATTGAGTGCGCCCTCAGCAAGTTTGCCGATGACACCAAGCTGTGTGGTTCAGTTGATATGCTGGAGGGAAGGAATGCCATCCAGAGGGACCTTGACACGCTTGTGAGGTGGGCTGATGCCAACCTCATGAAGTTGAACCATGACAAGTGCAAGGTCCTACACCTGGGTTGGAGCAATCCCAGACACAGCTACAGGTTGGGCAGAGAAGAGATTCAGAGCAGCCCTGCAGAGAAGGACTTGGGGGTGCTGGTTGATGAGAAATTGAACATGAGCTGGCTTCAGTGTGCGCTTGCAGCCCAGAAAGCCAACCAGATTCTGGGCTGCATCAAAAGAAGCGTGACCAGCAGGTCGAAGGAGGTGATCCTGCCCGTTTATCCTGCTCTCGTGAGACCTCACTTGGAGTACTATGTACAGTTCTGGTGTCCTCAACATAAAAAGGACATGGATCTGTTGGAATAAGTCCCGAGGAGGGCCATGAGAATGATCAGGGGACTGGAGCACCTCCCATATGAAGATCAGCTGAGAAAGTTGTGGCTGTTCAGCCTGGAGAAGAGAAGGCTGCGTGGAGACCTCATAGCAGCCTTCCAGTATCTGAAGGGGGGCTATAGGGATGCTGGGGAGGGACTCCTCATTAGGGACTGTAGTGACAGGACAAGGAGTAATGGGTTAAAACTTAAACAGGGGAAGTCTAGATTGGATATAAGGAATAAATTCTTTCCTGTTAGTGTGGTGAGGCACTGGAATGGGTTGTCCAGGGAAGTTGTGAATGCTCCATCCCTGGCAGTGTTCAAGGCCAGGTTGGATGAGGCCTTGGGTAATATGGTTTAGAGCGAGGTGTCCCTGCCCATGGCAGGGGGGTTGCAACTTGATGATCTTGAGGTCCTTTCCAACCCTAACTATTCTATGATTCTATGATGCTCGCTCCTTCCATGGTCCTGAACTATTGCCCTATGTCACAATGGATTTATCTTAAAAACAAGTCTAACCTAAACATGAGGAAGATAACGAACACCTCAAAACAGCAGCATTTGGAAAACACTAAGTCACACCCACTGCCAGAACACTGCTCACAGAACACTGGTCACATTTCACTTCAATGAACAACCCAGTGTACTAATTACTATGTTCCTTGGAATTTGAGGATAGCAAATAACACTACCCAGCAAAACCACAGTTCCTGAAAAAAAATCTGATACTGTAGAACAGTTCCATAAAGAGCTCAGGTACTGTTGATCTCCACTTCCAGTACTTGAAGAGTGGTTCAAACGGCTCAGCTACCTAAAAATTAATAGTGCCCCACAAAAAGCTATCTAGAACCCTGAATCAGAAATCCCTGATCCCACAGAGAACACCAAAAAACAGCAAAGCACCTTCAATAATTCATGCAATGGCATGAGAACAGGATCCAAACCAGGCAGTGTGCTACCATTACACTGCTAAGTGTGTGGTCACTTCAGACAACATCTTAAATTCAGGTCACTATAAAGGGTGTCAGGAAGACAACATGCAGAGAACTTGCTTCTTGCCATAGATACGTGTGCTGCCTTGTCATGCCCCCTTCCCAAAAGGGTAATTATCCCTCCCTTTACAGTCTTGGGGTAGGAATATGTGGCAGCAAGGGTCAGACCACCTTTTATAAAATATAACAAGACCCAAGAAACATACAACTCCTATCTCCCAGTTTCAAGAACATCCTAGCAACTAGCTGCAATACAGCCTGAACTGGGAGCATTTTCTTCTCTGTCCTCTCAAGCTAGACTACTGCCTGAAAAGGAGTCAACAATGTACTAAAGAACATGGTATTATTCCTTTGGCAGAGCTCTCATACACAAAGCTCATCTGTAAACATTTAGTCCAAATTCTTGATGTGAAATGGAAACAAATCTTGGATCACATTCTCCACCTGTGACCCTTCCTTTCCTAGCTGAGGGTTCGAAGAGGCAGAAAAAAATAAGAGGTCAGAATGATTTCCTGGAGAGAAGGGAACACGTAACTGTGCCAGCACTCTAACTGGGAAGGTATTATGAGAAAGCCCCCCTCCACTTCGGGAAGGACCAAAAGCAGTAGCACCCTATGAAGCTTAGCACTAGGCACAGTTTCAGGACAGGTCTTTGCATGTCAGCATCACAGCAGAGGTAAGAAGGAAGCAGCCAGGTTTTAGGTCCCCACGGAATACGAGCATACACTGAAGGCCCAAGCACCCAACCTCATGAAGGGTGTAGCAGTTCTGGGACTCCATTTGGAATTTGAAAACTTAGAAATGCAAAAAAATATAAAAGGCCAACACAGGGCTTAGGCTGCTTCCAGATAACCTGACAGCCCTGCACAAGTAAAATCCTCTGAAATCCCTACACAGGTGCATGAGCTTGGCCTTATCTCATGGTGCAGGTGGGAAGCACATTCACTCCACAACTGCGATGTCCAATCATTCCATCAAGTATCAAACTTTAAAAGAGCAAATACTATTAAGACTGGTTTTAATCAGATGAGCAGCTCTACTTCTCAGAGAATCAACTGAGATCAAAGCTGGTCTTCTTCTGAGGTAAACAATTTATTTCCAAAGAGCAGAAATACGTGCATGTACCATCGCTAAGATCCATAACTCATTGCAACTACTCAAATAAAAGTCAAGTTGTCCTCAGCTGAACTCCACCAAGCTTCAAATATCAAATACCTGAACAGCTAAAATGCTGATGGTTTGGCCTAGCTTTAAAATATATATTACATCTTTTTGTGCTAAGGATTAGATCTTAATGGAAACACAAACCTCACCTTGAATTCTTTGTATATCAAATAGACCGCATTTTTTCCATGCCTTCAAATAAAACTAAAAAAATGCTTCTGATGAATATTCTGCATTACATCCCAAACGAAGTTAGAAAGCTACATTTGAAAAGTACTGCCTCAAGTTTCAGACCCTGATTTTGAGGATTTTGACTTTCATGAGCACAACTGAAGGAAAAAACTTTCATGATAGTTCCAATTTAATAAAGAAGGCTAAAAATACTGCAGCAGGCTATAAGACTGTTCATTATCCGAATGCAACTCCAGGACTATTTTAGAATTGATGGCTATACACTGAAGTGCACTTTTAGAGCAAAGGATCCCTGCCTGCATCAGCTGTACTGCCCTTTGCTGTGAAATGGGAACCAGGACAGGGGCAGCCCATACTTTCCTTCCTTTAGCTAGAGGCATATACAAAAACTAAAATCATTTGCCACTGGCTCATTGCTTAAGATCAGAATTCAGCTGTGGGTTCAAAAAACTCACCCTTCAGTTTCCCCTTGTACTGGTTTTGTACTGTACTTTCACAGTACCTGGAACCAAAGTTCTTTTATTCACTAGTCCTGTAGGTGAGAACTTTCACACCTAACACAAGGAAGACTTTCCAACAGTTGGCAGATATTTAAATTAGAAATTCTATTTACAAACAAAGCTACTAGTGTCAAAGTCTTCTCAAATATGCCTGAAACATTTCCTCCCCTTTGTTTTTTCCTTTTTTTTTTAATGGAAATTTTATGTAGGAAATACTATACAGAACCACAGGTTCTAAGCCTAGTTTGACTTCAAACAGTGCTACACTTCAGGATGTGTGTGTACTGAGTTCCTTTTGACACGCTGGCAACAAATCTCACTCATCAGTTTGTTCTGCTTATTAAATCTTACCTTTTCAGTCATGTGATCATATCTGTCCTTTTTGCCTTTGAAGTCTTCATTAACATCTAACGTTAAAATAGGTATTTCCTGGAGATACTCAAAATCTGTTCTGTATTGGGATAGGAACACAGAAAATGTTAGTAGCTGAAAAGAAGTACCCATAGTTCAAGTCTCTGTCATCATTTTCCTTGTTAAGAATCCCATGAGAACTGCACATATAAACCACAGGCACAAACTGAATATAAAGCAGCTTGAATTTACAGTGACACCTAAGATACATGATTGATTCTCAAACATCCTCTTGCCCCAGCATCTACAGTTAAATTTAACTGCATATGAAATTAGCTCAGCTGAATCCTCTGCTATTCAGAGTTCTATGTAAAGAGAACTCAAGGCACATTGCGCGTCCTAGTGATAATTAACATGTTGTCAAGCCAGTACTACTAAAGAACTACAGATAGAAACATTCCTAGAGTTTAACTTTACATATTGTAGGAAAAGCTGAAGTTTCACTGGTGGAAAAAGTATTATGGAACATCCTTACAAAGATGTATCCATCCTTAAGTAACCATTAAACAAACCATACCGCAGTGTCCTATGCTGAAGCCAACTTTCATGTTTATAGTGAAGCTTCTCCAGATATTCAATGGGAATTTCTTGCTCTTCATCTCTTCCACGCAAGTAAATCCTATTTAAGCATTTCTAAAGGCAAAAGATAATAATTTAAAAAACTATTGTTTTTGCAGAGGAAGTCTAGTTTGCGAAAGTTTCTTTTGCCAACCCGTCCTACTATGTTCGATATGCCACTCTCTGCCAGAGATAAATATTCAACTTACGTGAATACTAGCACAGAAACACTATGCCATGTTCAGCTGATGAAGCCCAGACTACAGTCAAAATCAAAGGGGGACCCAAGGAAATGTATTTTGTTATATCTCCACTACAAGGAAAGTCTCAAGTAAGCTTTTTATTAAAGGAAGGGGTACCTTTGTATTACATGAAAAGAGCACAGACTGGCACTACAAAATCTCATTATATATTTCACACTCTTAGGAAACCAGTTTTCCCATGTAGTATATCATTTGTTCCTGTCCTGAACACATCCAGAGCTTCAATAAGCAAATCAAAACTGTTTAAAACTGTTGTATTTTCCTGTTTATATACATGTTCTTTATTTAAAAGAAAAAAAAAAAGCAACAACAAAACCACAAAAGCTCTCAATAGCAAGCCTAACAAGAAAGCTCTCAGAGAAACTGTAGTTTCCAGTTCCAGTGGTATTTTCTAGTTTACTCTTGTCACATATTCTGTTTTTATAATTAGAAAACCATTATCATCACATTTTATTTTAAAATACACAGGCTACATTTGAAAGAATATTCTTTTAAGTATTTCCAGACTGATTAGTCATACTCAAGCACTGTAGCTGTCAGGGGAATACTGCAACCTGAACTACACTGGAATCATTAGGACTGTTGCAGCGAAAGATAAGGGTAGCTCAAGATTTTAAGAATATCACATTTCAACAAGCATTTTTCAACTGTTTCTTTGCCTGAGACAGCCAAAGTAATCCCTAAAACAAAGACACAGTGACATGCAGTGACACACAACTGTGACCTTACTGGAGATGACTGCAAGCACATTATTCTGTTATCATAAAAAAGGTCTAAATCATAGTTAAACACTATACTTTAAAAAAACAAACAAACAAACAAAAAATCCTATAGAAGCATAAACAAAGATCAAAATTTACAGGCAAGGCACAGAACATGCACTCTCGTTTTCTGTAAAGTCACACCTCAGGAGTGGCTCTGAGATAAATGATGCCATCTAATGCCAACCTCTGACCGAAATGCTGATTCATCCAGTAGTGCCAGTCTTGGTAAACAGTCCACTCAGTTTCATTCATGCAATCAGATTCATATAAATTGGCTGCAAAGATGTACCTGTGAACACATAATAGTATGGAAACAGAAGTTAGCTTGAACACAGTTCTTGCTTTGTTTGCCTGAAGTACTGCACTTTAAGTAGAGAAGAAGCTGAGCATAGTAGTTTTGCAACTTCTTTGAGGTATGCTTGGAGTGGAAATAAACAGCTGGTATCCTCATCCTCTATGTCCATAAGAGCTGGCCAGAAATGTGCCCACAAGGATCAGTAAAACTGGCATCTCAAATATAAAATCTACCCTTCTTAATTATCAAATCTAACCTTCCAAACCCAGAAGCACAGGGTATAGCACTACAAAATAGCTATGTCTGTAATCAAGGACCATAAAAGAAAACAAGGGTAAGTAACAAAGGAAGAAATTGTTTGTGACTTTTCTTGATGCCTGCTCCTCTCCTTTCTTTGAAGAGAAACATGCAGGCATAAAGCATAAAAAACCTACCCTCAAAGAATGAGAAACTACACATCCTGTTAATTGAGGATATACAACAAAATTACAAACCCTCTAACCAGTAGTTTTACTTAGGAGAATTCTGATCTTCACTTGAAGGACTCTAGTCCAAAGTACCTGTCACTGTAGACAGATCGCTCGAAGAACACAACGGGATTCTCCGCCTCCCTGAGCTTGCCATCAAGGGACCTGAGCTGAGCCCGGATCCTGCTCAAGCACGCATATGTTTGGAAAGTGAAAGACCACCTCTCTGGTTTTTCATACATCATCTGAAGCACATTTCCGCCACTCTTCTGTGATGTGGTCAGCTCCTGGTTGTTAACAAATACAGAGACCCCCTTAAGTGAAGAAGGTGGACAATTAAGGTGAAACAGAATTGCTCTACAACATTAAAGCTGTTCAGGTTTACAACTTCAGGTTTACTTCAGGTTTACAACTGCTTCATTTACCTCTCAACCCTCTTTGTAGTACAAGGCATAAATGCCAGAGCAACTCCCATGACACTGAGCTGAATAAGCAATTCTCTGCAATCCACAATGCCAACATGCCCAAGTACCAAAACACTTTGATCACTCTTTATAAGGTAAAAAAAACCCATCCTATCAGTACAAAAAGTCAACAACATGGTAGAAAACTCCATGTTGCTCCTACTCTGGCAAGTGTGAGCTTAAAACTGGCCTTATTTTGGCTTCCATCTACTAATTAGAGCTCTTCCTACAGTAACAGCTACTGACATAGCATCTTCAGACCTCTCACCTTACCTAGGAGATTCAGAACAGACTTCAGAGCAAAGATCTTCCTCAGCCAACAATGGAGATCCAGCACCTTGAGAGAACCACTAAAGCTCACGGAAACAGAAAGCTGTGTGACTCAGGATACCAAAACCCCAGTCTACCAAAGACAGCTGCTTCTGTCTGAATCTTTTTGTTACATTAACACTAAATCCAAATACTGACATATTTTCAAAAGATTCTGGAATTCCAGGTTTCATCCTTGCTTCTAATTCCCTGCAACGATACTTGTGGTAGTAAACCAAACATGCCCAGCACCATGCTCTGACACTGGCCAAGCAGTATCCTAGAGCACTGTTCACAGCACACCACCTCCGAAGCCTCCAGAAGGACACAACTAAGTGCAGTGCACTGTCAGCAGGGCCCTGGGCTATTCTACTGCCCGAAGATGCCTGGGAACTGCTTGGAAGAGTCCCAGGTGTCACAGGACAGAAGTCTGTTAGAATCAGGGGACACAGCCTGGTTCCACTAACCAGGATATGCTCCCCTACTCTGTCATCAAGCAGAGAAGATACAGCTACAGCAACCTCTGCAGCTCAAAGTCAGAGAACCTTTGTAAGGAAGGGGAAGGAAAAGGGGAAAAAACAAAGGCCTGTTGTTTGGGCTGTACCGCATTCATACAACCAAGCTAGTGTGCAGTCCTGTGCTGTTCTATGGCAGCTGCTGCTGGTACTGTGTGAATGAGACAACAGCAAGAACACTACAGACTATTGACTAGGCAGAAAAGAGTGTAAGACACCCACAAACACATCCACAAACAGCTTAACACCGAGCATTGTCTTGTTCTTAGGAACTTTTTTGTGTCTCCTCTCTAATTTCAGGATTCATAATGTCCTCAAGCCTTTCTCCCTTTCCCACTGTGCCCCCTAGCAAGCAGGCTGGGGTGGGCAGGAAGCTGGGAGGAACAGAGCCAGAAGAGCTGATCCCAGCTGCCAATGGGATACTCCACACCATAGAATGTCACACCTCCATTAAAAGCTTCCACTTAAGTTCACCAAAACACATTGTACTTTTTGCCAGAGCTAAAAAAGAAAATCATCTACAGTTCTTCAAAAGCTCCACACAGCCAGCACAGTGGCAACTTGGTAGGAGCTGGACTGCCAACAAAATTACAGGTAGCTGACTAAAAAACACACCACTACAAACCATTTAGCAGTTAGTTATTTCCTAGACATTTTAAGAGACACCTTCGAGGTCACGTAGAGAACCCTCTGCTCATTCACAGTTGGTAAAAGTAACTTAAGTACTCTCTTTTTTCCATCCTTTGCTTTTATACATAGAACAGGCTTTTACAGCTTATCCTGACTATGAATAACATTTATTCTACAATTCACCAGGCAAACTGAAAAACAGAAACTCAAATACTGAAATAAGAATCAGGAAAAAAGTTGCTATCACATACGTTTTCTAACAGACTTCATCTATCACATGTACTGGTCTTCTGAAATTAGGAGAACATACAACTGGGTCTGAGGGTTTTTTGTTTTTAAAAGCAAACCTCAGTGTCTTGTGCCATACCTCACAATCCTCTTCAGAGCTCGGCTGAACATTGCACCATCTTGCTATAGGCTCAGGAACAACTTCCCACTGCTCATCAGCTTGCTTGAGAATCTCCACAAACGTCGATTTCCCTGCAGCTGTAGACAAATCATGCAGGAAAAGCAGCAGCTAAAATCCACATGTTTTACCATTTTCACAAGGAAGAGTGGCATTATTTAACCATTATAAAACTCCAGCTTCAAGTCCCATAAGGAAGTCTCCGACACTCTCATATGGTTGACTTGATGTCAAGCATCAGAGACCACCCAGTACCACAAATCACCAACTCAGTAAGTATCAGGTTTTCTTTTTTGTTGTATACCACACCAATAGCCAATTCAACAACAAAATAACGACAAGATGTCTCAGGGCAGCTCAATCATGTACATTATAAAAAGTTATATCTGCAATTAGAACACCAAGTCTTAAGTTTCTAAGGATATCGAGTGGTCCCATCTCAGGCATGGAGTTACAGCCTTCCAAGTTATTTTAGGAATCTAAAACCCCACAAAAAAGGCAAGCAACGTTGAAAGAAACATAAAGCAGAAATTATGGTTTCTCAAATAGAGATACCAAGGTGAGCTACTAGTCACTTCCTCCAGCACGCAAGTTATTCATCTGTCATTAATCTGCCAATAAGCTCAGGAAAATTTAAAGAGACACTTGAAGCTGACAGAGGCCAACAGCTGGGGCTATCAATTTCCACACTGCGGATCAGTAAATGAGTTGACAGCCCTCCAAGTCAGGTCCTCAATTTTAAGCACATCCTCTTACCAAAAAAAAAAAAAAAAACCAAAACAACCCATAAAACCAAAAAAATTCTAAAACCCCAAGCACCAAACAAAACCCAAAACAAAGACCCTCAAAACCACCAAAACAAACAGAGGAGAGTGTCTTATGAACAGCCCCTAATTCCTGCTCTTCGCAAGACTTCTGCTGCTCCTTAGGAGTCCCTGAACATGAAAAGTTTGACCCAACAGTCTGCATTGACACCGGTGTTCCACCCTACAGTCAGAAAGGCTGTGAGAGAAGCCTCATCCAAGACTCCAACGCATCTTTAATGAGGCGAATAAACCAAAACCTCAAGTTCCCCTCGGGGCCCCCATCCCGCCATTTTTATAGCATCGATTCATTAATGCCTACGGTGCCAACAAAGTTATCAACGTTACCGGAGGGCTTGGTGGCCCAATACACCCCGCCGGCCTGACTCACACTTCATTACCTCACGAAGCGCCTTTTTCGCAGGGCAAAGGTGAGGAAGAGTCCGGCGAGGAGGCAGAAAGGAGGGAGGAAGGAGGGAGGTCTCTCGGAGGAGGAAAGGAGGAAAGGAAGCAACGAGGGAAGAAGGAAGGGAAGAAGGAAGGGAAGAAGGAAGGGAAGGAGGAAGGCAGGGAGGGATGGCAGCGGGCCCGACTCACCGATGTTTCCCTCAACAGCGATCTTCTTGATCCTGCCCTCCAGCCGCCCGCGCTTGGGAGGAGTAGCCATGGCGGGCAGCAGCCGCGGCGTGAGGGGACAGTAGCGCGCGAGGCAGCCACCGGAAATAACGGCCGCCGCGCTTGCGCCCGCGTTCGAATCTGGCGCGCGGCGGGCTCGAGAGGCGTCACGCGGCACTGCGTACGGGTGGCCGCGAGGTCCGGGGCAGGCGGCAGAGCCCAGCGCTGCACAGCTGCGGCAGGAGCGGAGCGCTTCGATGGGCGGGCAGCGGCCCGAGGGCGGCGCTTCGCTCAGACCCAACTGGCCGCAGCCAGAGCGGGAGGCACAGGAAGGAGACCGTACGGTAACAGGAGTTCAGTACCTCGCGGCAACGTATGAGAAGTCACAAGCAGGTTGGGTTTAAGAGGGACCGAGGCACTTGTTTACAGTTGAAAACCCCCAAACACCCACTGAACCCGCACTTGACTAAGTGCTTCCCAAAATACCATCCCAACATAGTGCTATCTTGGCTCCTGAGGGTCCAAGTTCAACAGGGAAAAACCCTCCTATCAATAGAAGGGAGTCGGGAGCAGCACACACGCTGGTATAAAACTGTGTACCAGCCACTCCTGGCACGGGCCCTCAAACATCCCCAACCCCAAGACATGGGCATTAACACAAAATGTGAGATTTTCCACCACCTTTTCAAGCCAATGGCGCAAACCACTCATCAGGTGTTGGCAAGAGGTACAGGCCTGAGTGGAGAAGGCAGAGGGAATCGGATGGCTGTAGGAAACCTGGAGTGCTGCGACTGGCAGAGTCTTAAGAGGCTTTGGGGAGAAAGAAAGGAGGGGAAATAATAAAAGGTGCCTGTGCTGCAAAGCATGGCCAAAAGCAGTCTGGATTTTGGGAGAAGGGGTGACCTGAGGCAGCGCACTGCAAACCTTTCTAATGTCCCTGGGGGGTCAGTGCCAAGGTAAAGCCATGCCAGACCCATGATCTGGTATCCCACACCAACTCCATCCCCACTGGGTTGACTCAGGTCATGAAACACGGCACTGTCTCAGGTTGGTTTATTGCTATGGTGTCTGCCTGCAATACAAATATTCACAGATTCCAACAACACATTACAAAATTCCAATTTGTAGGTGTAATAATGTTTGTATGTGGACAACATATAGGAAAAAAACCCAGCTATCTACAAGGAGAAGATAATTTAGAAACAGGTTCAAGAAGGAAATCAAGACAATCATGGTCAAACATAGCTATTTATTTTCTCTTATAAACAGCCTCGGGCTTGTCATTGAAAAAAAGCTAGAATTTAAATATTCTGTCCCATCACATACAACAATCTGTATACAATATTTACAACTCTCAAATAAACATGGCGCAGATTTTCAGACATTCAACTTTTTTCCTTTGTAATTAAAAGCTGTTCTTATTTAAAACTAAAATATTGATCAGTGACTACCAGCGGAAGCGGTATTGGCACAGTTAGCTCACAGTAAGGGTTCTCATCTTGCACTCTGTAATTTACAACACATTTTATCCCATCTATTTCAGGATTCTAAAGGAGGAGAAAAGGTTAGTGTTGCTTTCATCATCTCCAATTTCTTTTTTGCCTTCAAAAATGGCCTTTTATTTAAACCTCAATCACTTTATTGCCTTCTCCTCTCTCGTGCATGGCACATCAAGGCATGTGCCTCTAGGTACTAAGTAACACCACCACAGTGCAGCCAAGTAGTACCACAAGCCTTGGAAATAAATGTTTTCTCAGCAACACATCTCTGGAAAATGTTCCAAGTTGTAAATGTACAAAAATAATGAGTATAGTTTAGTGGCTATAAAAATTAATTTCCCCTAAAAATACAATACTCTATGAACACTTTAGGGAGTTGGAAAGCAGGAAAATCAAAAGATTTAACACTTAAAATAATCAGTATTAGTCTCATCCTAGAAGAGAAGATATCCAGGGAATGATGAGGGCATCCATAAAACTGCTAGTGGTTTTAATGGTGCAGCTTGGAAAAAAACAACTGGTATCAACAGTGAAGGAAACTGGACCTGTCATAACAGGGAATCTTTTAGTGAAAGAAAAGCAAGGAGCCTGTGTTCGAGCCACAGCTTTTTAATAGCCCAATGGAAAGAGGGTGGTTTATATACAGTAACAGAGCACTCCAGCAGGTAGGAAGGGTGAGAGGGCAGTGAGAGAAGGAACAACTATCCAAAAGGGATGTGTTTAGAGTGAAGTTGTGTCTGGTGGTTCCAGATAAAGGGAAGGTCATAAATCTGGAAGGTAAGTAAAGTCCATAGCAGCAAACAGGTATCCTTACCTGTTGCATGCATGTCAGGGAGACTGGGAGAGTATTCAGTTCCTAAATACTGAGTAAGGAGAGGGCTCCTCTCTAGCTTAAAGTAAAAGCAAAAGTCCAAAGCTCTACATTGCATAGTAAGGAGTAAAAGAAACTTGATACTTGAAGATGGGCCACCTGCCCATGGAAACCTGTTTTCTCCCTTCCTCCAGCATTCAGCTACCTGCAATGGCAGAACATGGCGGGTTTATTTTCATGAGCATGATTAACTTGAATCCCTGCCTTGAGTTTGAAAGACTAGAACGTGATGTATCCACACCACCTCAGCAGTGCCACCACTGGCAGTGGTGGCTCAACTTGACCCGCTTGGCAGCACCTTCCCCATCCCATCTCGAGGTAGATGAACCTCCTGAAGTTACCACTGAAGTCACTGATGTGCTTCAAGATGCCAGTGGCCGGAAACCACTACAAACCATAGGATTTAAGGACCCACTTACACAGGAAGGCCTCAGGCAGCACTGGCAGCCCAGCCTTGCTCAACCCCACCAGCACCTTCCACTCCCAGTGACAGCAAAGCTCAGTTTTAGTTTGATGACACCATGGTCCACTTTAACGTGGCCTGGAGCAGCGCAGGGTTTGTTCAGGATTCGTTTCTATGGGGTTTATGTGGGAGGCGAGATGGTGCTCTCTCCTCTCCCCCCAATAAATGCACTATTTTATCAACACATTCACTTCACCCAGACTCCATCTGTACATCATGGCAACTTTCGTTTAGCATTTCAATGTGCCCTTGCTTCAAGAGTGTAAACATGCATCAGCTTCTGGTCCCACACCTTTCTGAAGCAAAAAGCTGCAAATATAAACAGCACAGGAATACTAAATCCCAAATGCTGCATACATGTCTTCAATATTGTTATTTTCAAGTGTTGTCGTATAATTAAACAATGTGTTCATACAGCTGTCAGGCAAATCATGATCTCCAAGCTTTTATTACAGTCCTAGGAACTAGTCTGTAACAGGGTTTTCTACTGCCAGATACTAAATCCAAAGAACACACTATCCACATGAGACTCATTTTTTGCGTTAAGAAATTCTAATTCTGACTGGCTGAACTGCATCAGATGCCTCTAAATTTCTAGAACTGGCTATTTAAAGGAGAAAAAACACTTTCCAGAGCAGAAGTATGCCAAAAATGAGAGCTACTGCACTGGTATCACTCCAAGCAAATCCTAACACTTCTGAATTATTTTTTTTTCGAGTTTCTTGCTGGTACATGACACCAAACCAAAGAGACAGCTTGACAGCTTCAAATCTAATGGAGGTTATCTCCTACTTAGCACCTTGGAGCAGGCTTCTGCCATTCTCCTGTGTCTTGCTGTGATAACTTGAGCTCTAGCATGAGTGAGAAGGCTCCCCTCAAGTGTCATCAGCACAGGGAACATGCACACACAGCTTCTCCAGCAGCACTGACTCAACTCAGCAAAGCAGTTTTCATAGGACAATTTACAGGAGTTTTTAATATCAAGCTGTATCTGCAGCACTCTTCATGCCTCTGCAGCAGGGAATTTCAGTCATCAGTCACTCCTCAGACAGAAGCCTTTCTTTAAATTAGGAATTTGTTAAAATACTTGAGGGAAAGCTGTCTTTGCATCACCAGTTTAACTCAGTGTGGACTGTGGTAACTCCAATCCAATCCCAACACTCAAGGAAATCACCATATAAAAGCTCCTTCCTTTGACATCTGCATATTAAGAAAACTTGGTAATGCTGTATGAGATCAAAAAATTAAACATAAGGACAACTGAAAATTTCACTTGTCCTTTGAGGAGATTATAATGGGCAATGACATTGATCTGCCAAGGAGCCAAACACAATATGTCTTCTTGAATGAATTGTTCTGAATGAAACCAAGGGCTGTCTTCATGACAAATGATGAACTGCAGATGGTTTGCAAGCAGCCTCGCTGTCTAGTATTAGCATAGCCAAATCTGAATGCAGTGAAACAAGCACACAATGCCAGTTTCTAGCTCAGTACTGAGTGTTCTCAATTGTTCTCATGTCTGTCCAGGAAGGAAAGAAAAGAGAGACAGAAGAGGTAACAAACCATTAAATCGCTTCTCCAGGAAGCAGCTTAAGGAGACCAGGAATTTAACTATTGAAGATATCATAGTTCTTAAAATACCCTTGTGAAATATATCATGTTAACACACAAGTAGTGATTCTAGTCTCCCACATGAATACGTTTATTATGTGCTTAGATGCTTGTCAGAAGGCTGTACTCATGGCCACTTGCGTATTTCGCAGGCTGCTGCACAGTATTTTCCCCTTTATTCAGCATTTTCAGTCAACCAAAGGTGTACAAAATGTAAGCTCGACTTCTCTCACATGCTAACTGTGGCCTCACCTGGAAGTTTAGAGGTTCAAGGTCAGTCAATCATATGCCACTCAAGTAAGGTCTTTGTCACTGAAGTCTAAAACTGGTGTTTTGTGTAGTCACAATCTAGCAAAAGCCTGGCACCATTAACCACCACCTCACGTACTCTGGCAACCACCAGTACTAATGGAGAACACATTGAAGAACCTAGCACAGATTTCTTTGAATCCAAAACATAACAGCTTAGACGATACATAAATGAACAACAGCTACTCATACAGGCTTCTGCAAGGGGGAACCTGATGACAGACCTCCAGCAGGAATCCCCAAGTCACTGCCTGCGGATCATTCCGGAGGTCAACTTCTCCCAGACCATTCCTGTATCTGGTTTGAGAAAACATAAGCCTGGAGAGGCAAAGACATGAACCGAGTGGGGGAAGGCCACATTTTGATTTGGTTTTCTCAGAACCGGAAGATGCACTTACCAAATGACAAAGCACTGACAATTCACCAGTACATTCCTATTACTTTTCCCAGCTGCTGTTCTTCCTTGGAGACAGGCTGCAATTTTAAGTGGAGGAGAACACCATCATACTAATGTAACTCCAAAGAGGCCCATGGAATTATATTTCCTCCAAGAAACATCTCCTACCACAGAAAACACTGGCCACCAGAGCTCCTCCATGGAGCATTTTATTCTTAACTTACAGGTTTTTATTCTTAACCAGGCTTTTTATTCTTAACTTAGAAACATTATTTCACTAATTATTTTTCAAGCCATATCTTTCTTACTATTACCCCAGTGCACTTTTTGCTTAATATTAACTATTTTTCCTAACCTTATTTGTGCAAACTAACTGTTCATTTGGCAAATGCGAGGAAACTTCACCACAGTGACAGACCCCAGTGGATGCTTCCCTGTTAAAAAAATAAAAGCAACTATGAAAAGCCCAAAGCAATGGCAACAGACATGTAACTACTGCTAAGCACAAGTTGTCATTTTGAAACACCTTCATCACTCTGCTTTAGCAACCAGAACTCCACCATTGCTTTTCTTTATAAGAAATATCTACTTTTGAAAAAATTTATATTAATCTCTAAAAAAATAAGACAGATATTTGTATTAAAAGCTGGAGATCACTGATTTCAGCAAGTTATGGCTTTTTTTTAGTGTAAGCATATATATTATTTTCCTAAAACAAGTAAGTGTCCTGGGTGTTAGTTTGTATTTTCTGTTTCCAGCAATGTTCAGTATTGTATGTGCTTTGCATCTCAAAAGTGAGTCTGCCAAGGCACTTAGAGAATGTAAGCAAGTCTTTTAGGGACTTCATAAGAATGGGCTACCACTGACACAATACAGAACCCATCCACCAGCAGAGTCAATCCCCTAACCAAGCACATTTCCTTTACAAACACTCAGCACCTGCTAAAATTCCACAATGAATAATAATGATGAAAAATAAGGTTTTTTTAAAAAAAGCTATTCACCACGTGTCACTAACAGAGAAAAGATTTCCCCTAATAAAAGCACAGAAAGTGGATTTGGCTGTTTGAAGTAACAGCTCAGGGGGTTGTTTTGTTTAAAAAAAAAAAAAAAAAACAACAAATGAACAAAAACCAAATACCACACGCTTGCTTAAAGAAACAAGTGACTTCAAGAAATCCTTTTCTTTTTATCTGTCCTTAGAGGTGAGTTTTTCAATCAGTTCTTGAAGAGGTGCAAGTTCTCTTCTATCAATAAGGTTGAATTCCTGCAACAAGGATGAGGAGAAAGACAGGGTTTTATATGTACACCTCTGGTGAGAAGTCTTATTCAGACAGAAGTTATTTGGTAGGAGGCTTTTAGAGCCCAGGCTTCGCCACTGCAGTATTTTCTGCCTGTCTGCCATTACCTGAATAGCAGTGCTCAGCTGCCTGAAGCTTTTTTTTTTCCCCACTTAAAGGAAGGAAATTTAAGAAGATGCTCTTTTTCTTTTAAAGGGAGAGGGGAAAAAAGGGAGAGAAAAATGTAGCTTTGAAGCTTTGTAGCATTTCAATCTCGCTTCTGATGCCATCCTCCGTCTTTCTTTTGTTAAGAATTCCTGTTCTACTGTATCATTTGATAAGGAACACTTTTCAGTATTCAGTTTTATAGGAAACTGAAAACTTTTACATTCCTTGAAAGCTTCTATCAGTAAATACACATAAACATGGGATAAGACACTAGCTTAGTGTCCTAGAGGTATCGATTCTCCTATGAACATACCAGCTGTTACAAAACTGAAGGGGCATTACTTTGGAACATCACTTTTTCCACAATATACCTGTAACCACAAAGCTCCTGCCACACATACCTGAACAAAAAATATAAAGTGCTTGAAAGAAGTGTTGAGGTGTGCCTCTTCTTGTAGCTGGATCACTGGATCAAAGTGCTGGTGATAAATGTGAGCATAAACTCTGAAGAGCCGCTTTAAAATTGTCTTTGCCACTGACATGAAATTCTTTGGGAATGGCACACCTAGAAGTAAGGAAACAGATGGCTTATTTTTCAACTCCCATACCATGGTCATGTCTTTTGAAAGCCACTATAACCCAACCGTACGTCTTGCACAAGAAGGGCTGTTCTGTTTCACTCAGCAATTAATCTGTAAATTATACCATGTACTTGGGCTGAAGCACAGCCACAAGCTCATTGAAAGACCACGGGAGGTTTCCCTCCCTTCAGCAGACCAGTAGCTCCTGAAGTTTCACCAAAACAAATCTTACTATGTTTCTACACTGAAGCCTCCCCACTTCAGCTTCCAGCTACTAAACCTTGTTATGCCTCATCTGAGTTCCCTGAAGAGCCTCCTCTGAGAGAGAATCTTCCTCCCATTGTGGCAGGATTCAGACACCCAAACAAAGGTATCTAATGTGCTTGTAGGTGCCCTCCAAGCACCTACCTGGCCTCTGAGTGCCAGTGCTGAAAAAGGGAAGCCTCCTGCAGGCTCTCAGCCTCATCAGTGGCCCTGTGCATGTGTCCAAGATACCACAGGGTACACACTCCAAGGGACACCAGATACCTTCGAGTTGGTAACTGAAATTAGCTTTGGTATCAGCCCCTGAGTTTTAACGCTTCTCTTAGCTGAACTGGAATCAGAAATAGGTTCTCTTCCATCAGTCTTGTGCCCAGCAAGAGTCCTGTTTCCACCCTGCTCACCACCATCCCTTAGCCAGAGGCTACTGAATGCTTTCGTAACTGCCTAAGTACTCTGAAACATGCTTTTTTCAGTCATCTCTATGAAAAGGACCCAACAGCAGATCTTTGTCAGTGAACAAGTTTTATTAAAATTGGTTAGGAAACAGCAGTCAGTTCCTGGGAGCAATAATCTCTTTAGCTGACACATCCACAGGCTAAAAAAGATATGTAGCAACCATCTAAAAAGATTAAACCTCTCTAGCTTCTCATCAGGGAGCAGTTTCCCCAGTCAGCTCAGTTCTTCTGCAGTCTTTCCAACTGCTGAAGTCCTGTCTGAAGGCCAGAGGCCTAAGCTGGTGCTCTATGCCAATCATTATCCCACCAACACTTTAAAACCCTAGCAGTAAAATTTTCATACTCCTGCTTAAGCTTACCCTGCTTACATGAACATTACACTTCCTTCACCAGCTGCTGCATCACATGGGAAGTTCACATTTAGTTGGTTACCCACTGTTGGCCTTTAAGTCTCTTTCTGAATTGTGACCATGCAGAAAGACATCTTCTTAAAGCCTTCTGTGCTTATCTGCTTAACTACAAGTAAAAAATTGCCCCTTGATCATGACAGGTGACCCCATTTTTCTGAAGAGGCTTACTGACAATGTGTCAAATGCTTCAGAAACTGTCCACAAAATAAAAGCAGTTAAGAGATCTCTGCTCCTTTTTCCACAATGATCATAAGCCTAAGAGTAATGGTGCACTGGAAACCTCCCAGTTAGGAGCTTTAGAACAGTCCTTCACACCTCTAGAAGCAGGATTTCATTCTTGTTATCATTTCCAAACTGGTGGCAGACCATTATTTTCCTCCTGCTTTTCTGAAAGAAACCTCTTAAAAATGTACATCTTTCATTTTTACTTGAAAAGAAAATAAATCGTTAACTTAAGATCAAAGAAGCTATTCAGCTTCTTTGGAGGTAAAGCCTAGGAGAAGTTCTTCCTGAGGACCAAACACCTTCCCTGCATCAGAAAGCTGCCAGTTTGTACCAATTACTGCTTATGTAGTTATTTCTAAGGTAAAAACCTATCATTCAGAATGTAAAATCAACAGATTTGATTAACAACATTATTAAATGGAAATAGTACTCCCCACATTGAGAACTGTTATAGATATTTAATAACATATTATGTATGTAAGTATTAACACATGGTTCAGAGTTCATGTACTACTACATCAATTTTATCTTTAGTGATAAAAGTGCTTTATATATGTAATGTAAATTTTTAAACTTGCTCTACTTGTCAGTCATTTAGGAGATCTTTCAATATTCTAAGAGTTGAATAATCCTGTACAACTGTAATCCAAACACATTGTTCAATTTTACTTATTTACCTTACCTATTTTAGAAGGAAATAGCGTTTCATCATCCAGCTGATCCTGGACCCAAGTCATCAGGTAATCAATGTACTTTGGTGCAGAGCACTTAATTGGTTTCTTTATGTTGGTCCCATCTGCCCAGTGGTACTCATATCTGGGTTGGGTCAACAACAACAAGGTATTTCTTAACACATGTGAATCATGCACATGAAGCCTAGAAGGCTGCTCTCCCTGCTCCTCATTACCCCCTGCCCTCCCACAGCCCTTCCTTGAAACTGAGGTCTAGGTGCTTCTGAGTCATCTGCAGCTGCTCTGTGCCCCACCTCCCCACTGTAATCCTGACTTAGCCAGATCCTCTTCCCAGTCTGGGAAGGCCTTTGAAAACTTTGTCCTTTACAGCACAATTCATTCACCCTTGGGTGCAAATCTCCTGCCAATATGCACATGACAGCCCGAGGTCAAACCTGCATTCCTGTATGCCAAAGGGTGCTGTATGAGTAGGTTACCAAGTCCTGAATGGCCAATAGCTACTTAGTCTTTTTTAAAGCTTCCCCTCCTCCGACTGTCTAGAGAAGAGGATGCTCAGGGTGGACCTTATCTCTCTACAACTGCCTCAAAGGAGGTTGTAGTTTGGGGGTCAATCTCCCAGGTAGCAAGATAGGTAACAGCCTCAAGCTGCACCAGGGCAGGTTTAGACTGAATAGTAGGAAACATTTCTTCACAGAGAGGATAATCAGGTATCGGAACAGACTGCCCAGGCAAGTGGTGGAATCACCGTCCAGGCAAGTGTTCAACAACTGTGTAGATGAGGCCCTCAGTGACATGGTTTAGTGGTGGTCTTGGCAGTCCTGAGGGAATGGTTGGATCTGATGATCTTCAAGGTCTTTTCCAACCTACTTGATTCTATGACTCTAAGAAAAAAACATTACAGCCTGTTGAAGTAAAACATCCACTCTCATCCACATCATGAGATTCTCATGCTCCAGGGCTCAAATTGGTCAAGGCACCTAACTGATTTCTAGTGCGAAACTTCACCCACTCCCTAGCACTGAGCTTCTCTAACCTCCACTGGCAGAGAGGAATTGCAAAGTGAGTGGCAATGCCCAACCAGCCAAACACGATACACTCCTAAAATTTACCTAATTTCTTTATATTTCAAAATATTCTTACAGATTTTTTCATAACTAAAGGCCAAGCTACACCAGTTCTTGCAGAGATCTCAAACTATGTTTGTGTTAGAGACAGGGAAGAGATTCAGAGGTAGGTTAATATCTAGGAATACTCTTGCACAACTGGAAGCTGGTATAAAATGCCTTTCAGGTAACAGTTAGAAAAAAGCTTCTAGTCTAACCAGCCCTCCTTAGGAAAGGTTCGTATCTGAAGATCTTTTGCAGATTCTTCTGAACCATGCAGCGAACCAAGCTTCAGAAGAATCTCAATAACTGGAATCTCAGTTTCAAGCTACACCACTGGCCCACTTGATGATTGCAGGCCAGTAACTGACTTGTAGATTAATTCTTCCATCTGTAGATAAGCTGATAATCACCCCTTTACAAACCAGACATGACTCTGGAACAGTCGAACGTGCTCTCTTTACCCTTTTCCATCCACAGAGCTAGTAATGTTCACATCTCATGCTCTATTTGATTGTTATTTCTTAGGACAGCAGTAGTACACCACAATGTCTGGGCTGCAACCACCTTCCCCTTGCTATTTCCAGTTAGTACTGTGTGGACAGTGCAGAATGTGTTCTATTTCAAAGATCACACACCTCATTTTATGCAAAGCCTCACCCTATCTGATAAATCTGCCTCTTGGTTTTGTTTAATAAATTCAGTTTTGTCAGAACAGTACCTGGGAGAACACTGTCACAATAAATGATTTTACAAGTGATCACAAGCGCACTACTCACAATGGTATAAAAAGTTCCCATTTTTCTAACAGCAACAAATCAGAGGCTCTGGAAATATTTTCACGTTGCATCTCAAACACATGCAGAATTTCCACAGGCACTAAGCAGACCACGGCATGTCTGGATTTCTGAAAAATCAGTATTTCTCAATACCCAGCACTACCTAACACTGAGGTTTAAGTGGTATTAACATAGGACAGGTATCAACACTCAGCTGAGGTGCCAGTTTCAGCCTGGAGACAAAGGCAACAAATGAAATTGGACACTAAAAACCCCACCCAAATAACACATATCCCTCAGAAGCCTCCTTCTCTCCCCACTCCCCAGTACTATGGCTTAACTGTATATTTTAGAGGAAGAAATGCCAGGGAAGGACCCTTTAAGAAGCTCTAAAGTAAAAAAAAAAAAGAAAAAAAACCACCCCCCACACAAAGAGAAATATTTCCCCCAGGTTAGAATCATCTGAACTGCTACAGGAAATGAAGGGTAAAAATCACATTTCTAGCTCATGCTTGTGATCAGACGCCTACAGTTCTGGTGATAGAAACTAATGAACTTTATCATGATAGGCAGCTCCCCTCCATTTTTAGAAACCTCTAACAGCTCAGTAAGAGGTTCTTAAGGACAATCAAATCACTGTGTCAAGGATAGAGAAAAAAATACACAGTTCATTCCAGCAAGTGCAGGGGAAAAGCTAAGAATTCCCAATGACTCTGGTGGAATCCTCCCATGCTAACAAACAAGTTATTTGCCACCTATAAACAGAAAACCCAACTGTGCTTGTCAAACTAGAAAATATCCCTATGTATAAACCAGCACAGGACCAGCACCTCCATCACACAGCCCCAGTTTTGACATCCAGCTTTGCAAAATGCAGTAGTCACATCCCTCCTTTGGGCTCTCACTGAACACTTGTAACTAGGGCGGAAAATAAAGAAAATCTCTATCACCCAATGCTGGTTAATAAACAAAATACTTCTATGCATGTTCTTAACTTAACATCATGCCTGCTACAACGATGCTCATCCTGCAACTGACATAACAACAGCACAAACCAAAAAGATTCCAAAAACCAACTAGTTTGATTGGGTAAGAAATGGTTGTTCTTTACTGAAGTGAAAAGAATGAACCATTACCCTGAATAATCATGTTTTGGGACAAATTAAACCATTACTTTATTCAAACTGGTAGACAAGGAGCTGTACAGCAGAAGAGGGAGAGCTGTTCTTATCGTTATGTCAATCCTGAACTAACTCAATGTCCTGCCCCCTGATAAAACCTAAGTCAGCACTCCTTACAACAGTGAAGTCCCTCTTAAATGGGTTTTGAAGACAAAACACCAGCACCCGGCAATGGATACAGGAACATTACACTTCCACTCTGTTACCCTCTCACTTCAGACATTTGGTTTAACTTCTCCACAGATTGCTATGAGTTTGTCAGTCGTACCTTGAAAACTGGGATTGAGCCACAACTTTGAACAGTTACCTCTGACTGCACCAGCACCTTACAACCCTTTCTCAAGACATCAGCCATAAATATTTCTCCAATGGAACACAAAAATCAGACTTTAAAGCCATAGAATGCTTGCTGGTTTTGTTCTCCCCAGCTACTCATGCTGTGGCCACCTAACCTGATTCAAACAACCCCATTTTGTTTCAGCTAACTCATACACGTTCTCTGAAACAGGTGAAAATGGAGTCATGGATGTGAGCAGACAGCAACCTTCAGCCTAGAAGCACTAATGAGTACCCAAGGCTCAATGCCTTTTCTATGAACATAGATTGAGCCAGAAGAGAACAGGACACAGGTGTAAGAACCAGAAGAAAAAACCCATAAATCTCAGCGTTTTCATGCTGACAGGTTCTCCAGCAGTACCTCCCTGAGAACAACGTTTTAAGCAAAAGCAAGCCACACTCACTCCAACTGAAGAACAAGATCACCTAATAAAAATCTTGTCAGAATGCATCTTCTAGCATCAAGCATCTCTTTTCTACCCTGCTTCATAACTATTTTGCGTAGGTCATATATTTCTGGCAACGGTTATCAGCCTCTTTGGAGAGAAATTCTTCAGCCTGGCAACCAGACAGCTAAACCTTTAATAATTAACCTCCACCCCCAAATAACTGCTTTTCAGCAGATTAACAATAAAGCAAAGAAATATTTTCATGCTCTTATCTAACAATTGAAGAGTCCACTCTGCATGCCAAAGCACAAAGCAGACAATAGGCTATGGTACTGCACAAGTTCTTTTGCATACTGGTGAACTTGCTCTCCCTTTCGTACTTCACCCCTTCCCAAGCTGCAGCAGCAGGTCTGCCTGCCCACACTGGTTTGCCATTTGGCACCATCCGTTTTTAGTTCAGGACTGTAATGCCAAAGCCTTTCCTGGTCCTTCAAGCTATTTCCAACTAGAAGAGCTCCTGCCCTCTCCATCTTCCCTTCCCAGCAGCAGCCTTGGTCCATCCTCATCTCTCCACCAGAAATTCCTGGCTTCACACAGTAACAGGAGGAGGAAGTGGAGGAGAGGACTTTCACTTTTGTTTATTTAAAAGGAAGCAGCGCCCTCCCTTGCCACTCGCTGAGAAATGCAGGTATTTTCTTCTGGAAGATACTGAAGCAGCTGGAGACCAAGAAAAAAAGAGACATGCTGGACGTCTGTACAAAAGCATAAGCAAGAATCAAAGAAGTGAAACCTCACTGAGGAACAGGGTAGGGGATTCTTATCCAGACTACTAAAATCTGTAGCCAATTTATTTCTACAATACCTACTCAAACACCTAAAGGAAATATTTTGGTAATTCCCCAAGTGAATGTTTGCCAATAAAAACTTCAGATCTTAAATTTAAAAGCCCTAATTAACATTTCAGTAAAAAATAAAAGAAAAAAATAGTTTGATAATCAGTTTACTTTCAAGGACTAAGAAATACAAACAAAAAACCCTTACCCTAAAAAAAACCACCTTTTCATTCCCCATTCCCTTAAAGGCTCCAGTTTCTCATCCCTTCATGGGTAACAGGAACCACAGAATCACAGACCGGTTTGGGTTGGAAAGGACCTTAAGATCATCAAGTTCCAACCCCTGCCATGGGCAAGGACACCTTCCACTAGACCAGGTTGCTCAAAGCCATGTCCAGCCCTGCCCCCAGGGATGGGGCAATCTGTTCCATTCCCTCACCACCCTCACAATAAAGAACTTCCTTCCTACATGTAACTTGAATTCCTGTTTAAGTTTTAACCCATTACCCCTTGTCCTGTCACTACAGTCCCTAATGAAGAGTCTGTCCCCAGCATCTTTGTAGGCCCCCTTCAGGTAGTGGAAGGCTGCTCTGAGGTCTCCACACAGCCTTCTCTTCTCCAGGCGAACTTTCTCAGCCTGTCTTCATACAGGAGGTGCTCCAGCCCCTTTATCCTCATGGCCCTCCTCTGGACTTGCTCCAACAGTTCCATGTCCTTCTTACGTTGGGGACACCAGAACTGTATACAGTACTCCAAGAGGACACCCTTTCCACCCACAGAAGTTACTTTATCTGTGGCACTTGGCTGAGGTAGTATAGAGTTCTCAAATGCAAAAATCATCTAAAAATTTTCATTTTCTCAACAACACATGAAAAAAGACCTTACTTTGGGCCAGCAGACATCACGGGGCAGCTCTCCTCCGTGCAGAAGTCTGTAATGGTTCCATACAGCATATTGATCTGGTTGAAGAAGTCGACAGCTGTAAAAGCATTTAAACCATCAGTTAACAATCTGCACTACAACAGCAACACCAGCTTTCTGCAGCCTTAACAGCACACATTGCTCAGAGGGTCCTGGAATGTTTTCTATGAAAAAACTTCACTGTTATCACTTTTTAAGAAGTATCATAAAGGAGATGCAGAATGCAATCACCAATGTCCTACACCAACCTCCAGCAATGACTATTTAATTGTTCACTGCTGCAAAATCTTCCTTTAAAAGAAGAAAAGGGAAAGAGAAAGCAGAGTTATTTCCTTTTCTGAAAGTTTGGTGCTGTTTATTAGAATCCCAAATTCTACTAGCTAGTCTGGAATAAAACTGAGACTTTCAGTGTAAAGTTTCCAGCAAAAGAGAGCTGTTACTCATTAGGTGAAACTGACTTCCCTCAGGCTTTGCATTTCAAGAGACTGTCCTTTCAAAGAATATTTCATAGAATCACAGACTGGTTTGGGGTGGAAGGGACCTTAAAGCTCACCCAGTTCCAAACCCTTACCACAGGCAGTGACACCTTCCATGAGAACAGGTTGCTCCAAGCGCTGTCCGAGCTGGCCTTGAACACTGCCAGGGATGGGGCAGCCACAGCTTCTCTGGGCAACCTGTGCCAGGGCCTCACCATGCTCACAGGGAAGAACTTCTTCCTCATGTCTAATCTAAATCCACCCTCTCTCAGTTATGGTATTGTCAAACACTACATGTATGGGATGTCTTCGGGGGGTGGGTGGGTTACTGCTTCAGTTTTGTTACATGTTTGAGAAAGCAGTTCTTTTAGCCAAAACTTTCTTTTTAAATGGTCTACAGTTGAATTCCAAAAAGACTAAAACTTATTGTATCTAAATATTCCAATAGTTCTTACTACTTTAAAGAGGTGCTTGATTACTTCGTACTCTTTGAAAACAAGGCTCTTCTTCAGTAACCTGAAAACAGTTCAGCAGGTCCTGCTTTTCAGAACTGCGGACATTGTAATCATTTATAAAATGCACTTTATCTCCCCTCAATTAATGTCCACTGCCCTTGCATCTGTTGGGGAGCACAGCATGTTACCATAGCATCAATACACAAGTTTGTTTTTCCAAAATGTCTTTCAGACAATAGAAACTGTAAATTCTGCTTCAGAATGAACCCATGCAATACAAGCCTACAGGAACCCAAGACTTGTGGGACTAGTTTTGGTGTCCTTATGCCTCCTTTCTGATGCATGGATGACACTCAGCAATCATATAAAAACCCAAATCAGGTGTGGTGGAGTTCCACTCCTACCTAACCACACTGCTTTGCAAATTCAACTGACACAGCTTTTCCCTGAAAGGAATCATATATAACATAGATAAAGATTTAATGCCCCAGTGCGAGTCCAGGCTACATCGCTGCTGCTACTAAAGGTATTGTGCCTGCCTACCCAAATTTGCATTCCTTGTATGACCCTGTTACAGAGACATACAGGTTTGCTGTAGTGAGATGGAAACTGGCATCCCAAATGTAAGCACTAGCAGATACCAGGTAGTGTGAAAGGAACTAACGGCTGAAGGAAAGGAAGTGTTAAATACTGCAGCTCCTTAAACTTCAAAGATTACATGAACATAATGGGAGAAGTTACAGCTACTGTCCAGCAGATGCAAAATACGAGCTACAACTGTGTCCTGCAGCTTCCCAGGTATTAAAAAAGGGAAGCAAATACAAACTGGTACAGCATGATCCTAGAACAGCTCATCTCTAGCAACAAAATCTGGGTGGTTTTTCTCCCCCACCCCACACAGCTTAAGCGGAAAACAGCAAAACACATTGGGAAAGGTAGACAGCAGTTACAGAGGCCCAGGAGGACTCCTATAGCTTGTTTGGGCAGAGGGAGGAGGCAGTTACCACTACCAAAAACAGGAAAAAGTGGTTATAGACAGCCCTTGTTCCTTAAGTGTACTCAAGAACTGTTAATTAATTTTCTATTCCCTGCTCCCATTGGAAACCACAGACCAATGTTTGCTTCAGGCAAGCTTGTTCGCAAAACCCACGCAGACGTCCACAAGACGACTGTTGCAAATCCCACACTCCATCTCAAAAGACCAGGAGATACACCACCCATTCACCACCAACAGCCAGCAGTTTGCAACAACCAAGAAAAACCAAGAACCTCCTTTCCAGCATGTGTAAAGCTGTAGAGTGTCTCTGCCTATTTTCCTCTTTTTACCCACTGCTCTGAAGTTTTGAGGGCTTAGACTATTTTTTCCAAGTGCTTTTCTATTGGAAAAAGTTCACACTGCCTGGTGTTCTATTATAAAGATATGGGCAGGATGTACTTACTGAATTAATTTTTGGTATTTTCAAATAAAGGAGATTTCAAATTAAATTCAAACCAAACTGATTATAGACTTTTTACCTTTATATTTTTTAAACTTATTTCAAAAATCTACATGTACACTGCCAGAAAACATGAGTAAGGCTAAGAGCTGAGCAAGAAGCCCGAGAGCAGAGCCACGCTTTCCTGTGCTTTCACTATTGTAAAGGTGAAACCCAACGACATTAAGTCCCACATTTAATTTCCTTATTAGGTATCTCAGTCAACAGAAGGGGCTCACTGCTACCATTAGCTGGTACTAGGTGTGGTAGAGGGATGCTGTAAATGAAGGGAGAATGTAATCAGTTAGCCACTTGTAAACAAAAAAAAAACAAAAACCAAAAACAAAGAACGAACAAGCAAAAAACCACGCCAACAACATTAGAACTCTACTGCAAGAAGGCAAGACCAAGGACCATTTCATTACAGAATGCAGCCATTAACCCAAAGGCAGCTCCCACTCTTTTTGTCATCCTGTTCATTTAGCAGTTAAGTCATTTGGGAAGGGAAAAATGCCACTGCCACAGACACAGAAGAAGAGACAGGCAGGGAGTGAAGAAAGCACCAAACGGGAAGAATGCCAGCAATATCAGAAGCCTCTTTAGTAATGCTTACTCAGAAAAATGGGATGGTGTTGTTTTTTTCTAGACAGTTTTGCAATACAGTATGAATAGACTTTTGTAAAGAATGGTGTCAGCAATTTCATCATTCCCTGGAAGCAGTGGCAGGTCATATACCAGAGCACTGTGTGGCTCATTCAGACCTGAAGGATGAAACCAGTAGGACAGTTTCACTTACTGAACATGTCAAAGAGCAAGAGGAAACAGAACCACAATTAGAAGACATTTCTCTCGAGCATAATTTACACTGCATTGCAATGCACAATCAATAACGTGCAATCACAGAAACAGGCCAAGCCAAAGACCTGAAAGATCACGAAACCAACAGAGAGGGAACAGAGTCTAGCAGCCAGAACTCCATATAGGCTACGGAGCATGACAGAACTTGGGTTAATCCACTCTTTAAGAGTGGAAGGCAGGCAGCAAATTCACGCAGCAGGGAGAGGAAGAAGGAAACATGGTCAGGCAATTAGAAAACACTAATTTGGGCCTCATTGTTTAGCCTGACCTAGCATAAAGCACAGGGTTAGGACAAACAGCTTTAGAGGAAGCAAAAATAATGACATCAGACACTTACCAGAGCAAAGGCTCACAACTTGTAGAAAAACAAGGAAGGAACTAATATTAGGAACATTGTAAAGATGGATCTCTGGGTTTGTTATAAGCAAAAGAAAAGTCAGGCCATACACATGACCGTAGTCTTTAGCATCATTTAAGGTCTTTGTGCTTAACTAAATTAAGGGTTTATGCTTAGCTCAGAGAGGGTTGACTATACTGTTGGGAAAGAATCCCAGCTGGATAAGAGCTAGATTATACATATTAAGATGGCACTGACAGGCTACTTTCTAAAAACAGCAGTGAAACTTCTACTTCAGCACTTGTTTGTGATCAAGTGCTCAGAGTTTAAGCACTAAGAGGAAGAATTATTTTGTTAACAGGAGCGTATTTTTTACACAAGGAGATTTAAGAGAGTTTTGTCTCTGGGAGACACACTGCATCTGTCAGCTCTACATAGTATTACATTCACCTCTCCCAATTACAGCAAGTGGTGCACACAGGATAGAAGACACACTACTAGAAAGGAGTACAGAGTTGTCCTCACTTACACAGGATAGAAGACACACTACTAGAAAGGAGTACAGAGTTGTCCTCCCACAAGTGTCTACCCATATTCAACACCCCCCATTAAGAAAAAAAACAAAATAAGCCCACTTACTGTTCACTGCAACCCATTCATTTAAGTCTTCACCTTCTGGAAGCATAACAGCCATCCGGAGATTTCCACTTCCCAAAGTAGCTTCCGCATGCTTTAGCAGCTCGTACTGGTGAGAGCCCTCTGGAATATTCTTCTTTGGTTTGAAGGTTTTGGAAGAGCGACTACCACTGTGTTAGAAGAGGAGATACTTAGAGAACTCATGGAAAGAAAAAAGAAATGAAGAAAACAAGGCACGCATAAGCACAGGATTAACATTAAACACTTTCCCAATCCCGTATTTTCTTGTGGAAATAGGATATTTGACACAGACTGGGATGCAAAAGTACAGGTGCTTTGACTTGTTTTAAACAGTTAAATGATTCTCCACTGCCCTGGCCTCTCACCTGCTCACTCTGCTGTTAAGCCAGTCAGACAAGTGGGAATGCTCAGGCTCCCTTCCCTCTCTGGGCAAACTGGATCACAGGGAAGGTGAGACCAGAAATATTTCCTTCCCCAGAATTCAGACAGCTGCTTATCAAGGATAGCACCCAAGCCAAACAGAAACCTTCTTTACTCTGAACACTGAGGAAGCTTACCCGGGTAAATGAAACATACTATTTAACAGAAAATCCCATGTTCTAACATCCACCTTCATCAGACATGAAATGTCATCACACCTACTGAAGTGTAGTAAGGAGGTAGGGGCCTGTTCAGAGCTCTGACTTTCCAAATGAGGTGTAAGTAATTACTATTAACCTCTCAAAACCAAGCTGCTAGTATTTAGGAAAGCATACTTTCTGCAGGCCTAGCTGATCCAGAATATTATCGTACCTACCAACGTAAAGTAACTTTTCCACTATCTGGTATTGTTTACGAACTTGGCTTTGAAAACACAGTTGCTCAAAAATACATTAACACTTTAGCTGTTGCTAATACATTTCCACATTTCCCCTGAACTATCCCTGCCATTTTCCCCTGGTGTCATAGCACACAGACCTTTCAGTCCCCCAGTTAGTAAAGAACTAAGGATGTCAACTTTCAAAACTTTCATGTAAATAATTTTCTTGCCTGTAATTTTGTTTGGAAAACATGGACTGACTTAGAAAAAAATTTAGACGTTTGAATTTTAAATGGTGGCAGTGAGCCTGGATGTACATTATCCCTTAACATGACAGAAAAAAGGGTCAAATCAGCCAGTATTTTTGAGTGGTTTAGTGTATGAACTGAGAAGATCTCAGTCAGAAAAGGAAAACTGAGCTCCGAATTCCAGTGGAAGAAAGTGGAAAGCTATGAAACCCAGACCGCAGAATTTTCATGGCAAGTATTATCCAGTTCTCATTTCTTTATATAAAAGACTTGGATGATTTTTCACCATCTCTCTACAGGACCAAACAGAAATTTTTATTAGTGTTCTCTGTCCAGCTCACTAAATACTTAAACCACACGCTGAACACACGACAGTTGTACCTTCTCACTGGGCAATGCTAGTGTGGCTATGCTGTCACACAGAAGCACTTCCAAGAAACTTAATTCTGCATGTCATTCCCCCCACCACGCCACAGTACAGCCATCAACAGAAAATTAATGATGATCTCTTGTTTCTAGAATCCTGGACACGAACAGCTCTAGCAGAGACACAATGCGTAACAAAGAAAGCAACAAAAATTGTTCTTTCCAAAATACACGACAGGTGATTGTGAACATCTCATTTGCCAAGCATATTGACAAAACTGCCCAACAGCTCACCAAGTTCAGTTTAGACCTTAACAAGAGCAATGAGGAAGAAAATGTACTGAAACTGGAGATAGAATAATGAGGTTTGGCCAGGTAACACCACCTTTTTGCCAGGTGAAAGCATCTTTACAGCTGCATCTTTGGGAATTGAAGAGATCCTACAAATCCGTTTGGTTGAAGATTTACACTGTCCTGGTGCTACCCTGACTGCAGCAGCATCCTCCCACTTCCAGCCTCCAGAGTTTCCTCCTGTTTTCTAACCTGATAAGGAAGCACTTGGCTGGACTAATAGGGATCACTGAATGATACAGTACAACAGGCCACATACATTCACACAGACCCCAGAACAATACTAATGCAGTCAGATACTAAATACAGCTGAGCTCAAAGTCAGAAGAGGAAACATACGGCTCCCATATATATTCTGTTACAGGACCTTGCTAACTTGCACCCAGTCATTTGCATGTCACCCTACGCGAAGATACCAGATCCAAATCTTAAATAAAATAATTGCCTCCCAGTGGGAGTATGAAGCTTCTATGGCTCAGGGAGTTCCCTTTACTTCCCACCCCTCCAGACACCTGCATTTGCTGCCAGGCCAGGTTCAAACCAGCTGTGAAGAGAAAGCAACCAAAAAAGAAACCCCACCAAGCAAAAAAAACCCTCCAGATCTTTCAACCGATTACTTAAGAGACACAAATTTTTATCTTTGGGAACATACCCACTTCACAGCCACCATGCCAACACGTATCTAATACAAATCTAAACATCTGGCAACTGCCTTAGTGTATGATCACACAGACAGGACTGACACAAGGTAATACAGCAACTGAAGAGCAAGAGAGACTGGTATTGTTACCTTTCCACATGTATCAGTGTAGGCAGAAGAAAACCAGAACACGCTAAGCAAAAGCACAGCACTTCCTACCTTGATAACTAGACAATGGGGAAACCAACTCCTAATACTTTCATAAAAAGCAAACCAAAGGTTTACACAGACTTACCCCCACTCCAAAGCTCTCAAGACATTTGTTTATCAGAAAGAGATCCTTCCTTGCTGCTTACATAGAACCCCCAGTTCCTAAAACTTAAGTCCTCCTTTCACCATGTTTCAAAACTTAACATACATCAGCCTCTCTTCTGCAACACTACCATTTTCATACAATGATCAAGAATGAAAAACTTCACTGATGTAACTGGTCTGGTGAAGTTGCCCCATGCAAAGTCTGCAAGTTCATTATACAAACTACTACTGGGCATGTGCAGCTCCTAAAGCTGATGAAGAAAGCTCTACCCAGATACAGGGAAAACTTAATGCCTGCTACCCCCTTTCCAGAATCACTGGTTTCTTCCTATGATCTGGCAAAAGCTGTAACAACAGAATACAAAATGATTTGCTCCCATCAACCGTTTTGAATAAGTCATTTCATATCTGCCTCCCCTACTCCTCTGATAACTACATCTCAAATCCAGCATGGCCATGCTAAGACAGCAGGAAATGGTTTCACGCAAAAGGCAGGCAGGCATCCAAAAGGAAAAGCAATTAGGATAAACGCAGACTGCATTTATTGTTGCGTGCTATGGAAATATCTGCAATTTTGGCAATAACTTATGAGAATTCCATGCATTTATGCAGTTCACCGTATGTGAAGCTGGTTAACAGCATGCACTGCCATACATTCCTTGATACAAACAAAAGCTCAGGGACTCAACAACCTAATACAGCTTCTCTAAGACAAAACCCTTAGAGGACACATTTGCTCCTGGGAAGTCTACTTGTAAATGCTGCTGCAAACATTATTTCAACTACCTTACTAGTTCAGAAACTCTCCTATTATTTAACCAAAAACTCAACATCATTTATTAACAACTCAGCACCATCAGTTAACTAACCTTTCAAACGGTTATTTTACTAAGTAGTCCTGCTTCCTCCCGAAACCCTTCCCACAGCAGCATGTTATTCCTGCTATCCTACAGTAGGATTCCCAGTGCTGAGCTTAAGGTATCTTAAAAACCCCCAAAATAAATAAATAATGCCCTTCTTTTCTTTTTTCCTATTGTGCAAATCTGTTACATGTGACAGATCTAAAAGTCTTCTTGTTCCAGGTCTATTTGCTCAACTCCTTGTGCATTCAGTGAAAAAGTTAACTTTAAAGAGATGTCTTGATTAAGTGTGGCACTTAATTTCACCTACATTCCATAACAGAGTTAGCTGTATCTGTGTGCTTTTTCTCTCAAGACTCTAAAATGCTCCGAGCTTGCGTGCAGCACCTGCTGCCTTTCTTTCCCAGATAGTTATTTGAATCCTCCCTCAGTTCTGAAACATCACATTAATGCAGAAGCAAAAGGGGACAAAGAAACCCTCAGAAATACCACACTAAAGATCCTATTTTTTCTTGGGCAGAAAGAGGTCATAAAATGGGGAACATGATGCATCACCTCCACTATTTGTCACTACCAGTTTCTGGCCTGCCAAGAACAACTGGCTTCTCAAAAGATTCTTGCAATTCCAAGGACGTTTTGCTCCCTTCACTCCCACATCCACCATTTCTAGCAAATTATGCCCTTCTATTTTTATAGGTAAGTGCAGCTACAGCAGTGCCAGATGCAGTTTGACCCAGCACTAAATCAGGAAACGTGTCTGAAGCGATTGGCTCTCTGTGTCAGGACAACCACTGAAGCTGGCTCGGAAGCCACACCTCCGAGCCCACACACTGCTTGGCTTCACACAGACGTCACAACTTACTTGTAAGCAAGAACACAACACTTCCTCCAAAGCTGTAATTTTATCTAGTCATCTGCTGACAAGGAGTGTTATTAATGATGTGCATTCTACAGGCTGCTCTGTCTTAGGTTAACAAGATGGTGTTTCCAGAAGAAAGGCAAATTTTCAGGCGTCCTGCTAACACTTCACTTCATGGGCTGCCTCAGCAGTCCACTTCAGTTTCAAGCACAGCCCTGGCAAATCTTTTACAGTCAAAGCCATTAAATACCCAGTTTAAATTCTTGATACACTTCTTGTTAACTGCAGGAAAGGAGCCACTTAAACCTTCATGTTCCTAGGAGAAGCATCTTGGCTAGCCTGGCTTAGAACACCTCATCCCCAACTATTTGTGTACTCAAGTCTCTTAATGGAGCTTTTAGGTATTTCTGCAAAGTCTGCTGCATACCCAGGGAAGCCAGAATTAAAACTAAAAAGTTTAGGCTCCTTATGCCTAGCACTTAAGGCTTTACAGCTTGTTCTTACCACAGAACTAACCTCAAGCTCTTACTGTTGTGTCTAACACTGCTCAAGCTGACAAGCAAATAAACCAAGCATGCCTCACAATCAACCATACAGATGCAGATCAAAGCCCAAATCCTGCCTCCACCCAGGCTGCCAATCTGTTTCTTCTGCAGCAGCACCATAGCCTAAACAACTGAAATACCCAAAGTGCTCCAAGGTCTTCCTCAA